CTATCTATCTATCTATCTATCTATCATCTATCTATCATCTATCTATCTTCTATTATCTATCTATCTTCTATTATCTCTCTCTCTCTCTCTCTCTCTCTATCTATCTATCATCTATCTTCTATTATTTATCTATCTATCTATCTTTTCAAGGTTGCCATAAACAATTTTTCCATTTGAATCAGTGGAACTTGAAAGTGCCAGAAATAATTGTACATTTTAATGCCACGTAGAGAAACATTCTTGCATTTTCTCCTCATCGGTTCTCATTAAACTTGATGAATTGGCTTGGGATTTGAAAATTTTTCAGTACAGGTAGTCCTCAACATATGACCCCAGTTGAGACCAACATTTAATGTTGTAAGTTGAGGACTACCTGCAGAAAAGAAAATTTTGATGAAATTCAAAAGGGTGGAGCACGACGGCTTTTGTTCTTATGTAGTCCTCTTTCTGTGTGAATGTGAATTGTGTGTGGGTCAAATTAGAGGAAAATCTTAATATAGGTAGTCCTTGACTTACAACAGTCAACAATAAATGTTAGTGACCATTCAGTTACAACGGCACTGAAAGAAAGTAACTTATGCCCATTTTTCACCCTTACGACCGTTGCAGCATCCCCAAGGTCACATGATCAAAATTCAAATGCTTGGCAACTGGCCTGTACTTATGACAGTTGCAGTGTCCCCGGGTCATGTGATCTCCTTTTGCGATCTTTGCGACAGGCTGTGAGTTTGATCCTAGGTAGCGGCAGATATTTCTCTCTTTGGGCAGAATGAGAATATATCTGCTGCAAACTCCGCATTGGTGACAGGAAGGGCATCCGGCCAGTAAACACTCCATTCAGTTGCCCTGACTCCACCCCAATGTAAGGGATTTAATCATTAAAAGGAAAAAAAAAATGCTCTCTACGGGTGCACAAGAGTGTGATTTCCCTATTTGGATAACAAGTCCGACTTTATTCACCACCAGGCAATGATGCTACACGAGATTTTCTTTCTTTCTTTTTTACTCCTTTCTGTTTCCTTTTACGTTTTCACGATCCCCCGTCTTTTCTCTGAGCAGAACAAGTTAACCTAAAACCTGTATTTTCCTGAAGAATTAATGATGCACTCAGGGTCAACTAATCAACTTCACAGTTGAAAGAGTAAAGCTACTCAAACTCTTCAAATCTTGCCTTTTTTTTAAAAAAAAAAAATAGCTTTCAAAGCATTGTATGAACTTTCTTGTAAAAACAACACTGCAAACATCACAAGGAAGCAAACAAATAATAATTAAAAAAGAAAGAAAGGGAAATAACGTAGTTGTCCTATCCAGAAATTTGACTGTATTCGTGGATGGATGGGTGGATGGAAGGAAGGATGGATGGGTTGATGGTTAGATAAATAATAAATATGCTATTTTATCCTCTTTATCTGCACCTTATCCAAAACAGAAAGGCACTTTAACACCTTTCCCTTTATAAACTCATTAACACCTTTCATTGTAAGCCCATTCTACCAAGCTCTTTATGATTTCCACGGAGGTCTGAACATTCATTGTCAAGTCAATCTGGGACCAATGTTTATGATACACAGTAATTAATCACCGTGATTTCACATTAGCGTAATTATTACATTAGGAAAGAAAGTGGGTGAGACGTTTAGTCACAGCCCTCTTTGCCTCTAAGAGAATATCCATTAGAGTCAATAATGTAATTTTTAAAATTGTTAACCTGTTTCGGGAGGGTTTCCATGCAAAAGCCAAGCATAGAAAAATCCCCCTCCCCAAAAAAAAGCCATTTGGGGGAGTGGGGATACTGATCCTGAAGGGTATTGTTCCAGTTTTCATACTAGAATAACAGAGTTGGAAGGGACCCTGGAGGTCTTCTAGTCCAACCCCCTGCTTAGGCAAGAAACCCTACACCACTTCCACTGTTGGAGCATTTGCAACTTCTGGAGGCTAGTTGTTTCACTGATTAATTCTTCTAACCGTTAGGAAATTTCTCTTTAATTCCAGGTTGCTTCTCTCCTTGATTAACTTCCACCCATTGCTTCTTGTCCTGCCCTCAGGTGCTTTGGAGAATAGCTTGACTCCCTCTTCTTTGGGGCAGCCCCTGAAATATTGGAACACAGCTATCATGTCTCCCTTAGTCTTTCTTCTCATTAAAGTAGACATACCCAGTTCCTGCAACCGTTCTTCATATAATTTTATCCTTCAGTTCCCTAATCCTCTTTGTTGCTCTTCTCTGCACTCTTTCTAGAGTCTCCACATCCTTTTTACATCGTGGTGACCAAAACTGAATGCAATATTCCAAGTGTGGCCTTACCAAGGCCTTATAAAGTGGTATTAACACTTCACGTGATCTTGATTCTATCCCTCTGTTGATGCAGCCCAGAACTGTTGACAAAGCTGGCTGGGGAATTCTGGGAGTTGAAGTCCGACAGGCTTAAAGTTGCCAAGGTTGGAGACCCCTGATCTAAAGAGGCAAGTAGACTGCTTTAAAACAAATAACCTATTTCCTACACACACACACACAAACACAAACACACACACACACACACCATGCTTGGGAAGATCTACCTTATAAAATGTTCCCCAACAATTTCTGGAATTTTGCCATGCGTTTCCCACTCACCCACCAACCCAGAAAGATTTATGTGCAAAAGATGTGGGTTTTGACTGGATCGGAGCCCTCATCATTACACTGCATCCTCCATAACCTTGAGGATTTTTTTTGTTGCTTAGCAACCAGAGGTGGAAAAGATGATTTAAAAGAAATGATGGGGAATGGGGCATTCCCTAGGTCCTACCCAGGAAGAAGGTCCTGTGGTCTGCTGGGGTGGAGAAGTGAATATTTTGGCCGATGCTGATTGAATGGTGAATAGCCAACATTAAGTTTTTCCATTAGAGAAGAATGTGCGCGCGCATCTTTCTTAGGTCAATGACACTTGGATGCAGGACACATCAAAGCTTCGGTGGACATCTGGAAGGACGATAGGTTATTCCCCTTGGCCCCCTTTATCTTATTCATTTCATTGAGCCATGGGAATGGATGAGTAGAATCAGTATCTAAAGGGCAGGGAATCCAGATATCTGGAAAACCTTAGTCTGGTTTTTGCTAGCTTTGGTGGGAGGGAAAGTCATGTGGGGAATAGATGTAAATAAAGGAAAGGAATTTTAATATACAACTTGCCTCCAACACTCCCTTGGAAAAACAATTTGTCCTTTTGAAAGCGAATGAATGTTAACCCTACCTTGTAAAAATGAGAGGTTTTGATGTCCAAGAAAAAATAGGCTGTTAGAGGCCTTTAATATTCTTAGGGAGTTGGCTTTTGTAAAATCTGGGGGGTTAAGAGACTTCAAAGAATGGCCACTTATCTCCCTGAATACAACTGATCCTTGAGTTTTTCATAAATCTGCGTAAACATCGTTGGGCAATCCTGAGTGTGGATACCTACTGCTAAATGTCTGTGGAGATTCTCAGTCCTCAGGTTATGTTTATCCCAAAGGTGCTTTTTCAAGAGGCAATTGGACTTCCTTGGTTGTTCTTTGAAAATGTTTCACTTCTCACTCATTAGAGCTGAAGAAGCTTCTTGGATGAGAAGCGAAACGTCTTCATAGAAAAAACCAAAAATTCCAGTTGCCTCTTGAAAAAAGCACCTTTGGGACACCTACTGCTAATCCTTGATTTATCCTAACCACAATAAAAACAGGAACTTCCATTGCTCAGAAAGATGATTGTTAAGCGAGTTGTATCCAATTTTATGACTTTTTTTTTTTTTACTGTGGTCCTTAAATGGATCATCATGGTGACTTTAATAAACCAAGCAGTTGTTAAAGCAAATCCGGCTTCCCCGATGATTTTGCTCGTCAGAAACCGGGAGAATCATAACCCCGGGAAGCTGCAACCATTGTAACTACATTCCAGTTGCCCAATGCCCAGATTTTAATGATGTGAGTGTGGGGAAGCTGTGACCATCATTGGTGTGAGTACTGGTCAGTAACAGTTAGAGTTGGAAGGGACTTTGGAGGTCATCTAGTCCAACCCCCTGCTCACGCAGGAGACCTGTACTAGGGAATCGAACCACCGAATTTCCAACCTTTCTGATCGACAAGCTCAGTGTCTTAGCCACTGAGCCACCTAGTCAGGCCTGGTCATAAGCCACCTGGTCATAAGCCACTTTTCTCATGTGGTCTTAATTTTGAACCGTCACTAAAGGAGCGAGCACAGGTCGAGGCCTACCTGTAAAACACACAATGAACTAAGTAGATTGTGTGTGTGTGTGTGTGTGTGCCCAGGAGTGCCCCAAACCACACAGATTAGAAGGCAGTTTACAACAGTCTCTGGCTAAGACGCTGACAATCCTTCCGAGACAGGTGACCGGGTTGCCTTGGATCCTTGACTGACCGTAATTAATTCACATCAGCAGCATTTACAGGGGAGATCAGTAAATTCGCGGTGCAAGTTACAAGAACCACTAGCCCAGCGGACGCCGGGCTGATATTTGTCCACTAGCAATTGATTTGTGCAATCAAAGCAAGCTTTGACGGATGGCCTGCCCCACCCCTGCAATGAGGCCATTCGTTCTCATGTAGTAACTATGGCAATTAATTGGAAACATGATGTTTTCCAGCTATCTCACTGGAAAGCGGGGGGGGGGGGGACAACGGCAACTATTTAAAAAAAAGATGGTTATTTTTTTATTATTTTAAAAAAATGCCTTTTCAAATCTCTTTTATCTCAGGAGGTCACCGAGCTAATTATCATTATTATTCCTGCAACCTTTCATCAACTCTTGGTCGATACCTAGGAAAGCTTCACCTTTTCACCTGGAAACAACCTGTTGCCTGCAGTATTGGATTATCAAACGGATAATTATCTCCTTCGAAGAGGGCGAGAATCCTTTGAAGGTTTATATTAAGTAAGGCCGGGCAAAGGGATGTCTATCACGAGTCCTACCCAGCACAGCTATAAATCTCAGACCCTCCAATTCCTCGTTTCTTTATCCAGAAAGCTCCCAGGGCACCTAGAGATGAGTTTTATTGCAGATGTGAATGAAGCTAGACACCAGAGAAAGATTTGCCTACCAGAGCCCACCGGAGTGAAAGCTGGGAGCTGGTTCTATTTTACCAAGGTTTTAAATTCAAGGCTTTTTTCTTCTCATCTTCCCAGGTAATGGATATTTGATGGTTCCTTTTATGGATTTTGAAAGGGCTTGAGGTATATTGACTTAAGGGCCTTCGAGGCTGGTTCTTGCTTCGCTGACTCCATTCCTTACAGGGACACGTTCTGTCTCTTATCTCTCTTTATATTGTCACCTTCGGCTGATCAAATCTTCTTGCTGTTTTCTTTCTTTCTTGGCCCTAAAGCTGGAATGGCTTCCCTCCAGGATCTGGCAAAAAAAAAAAAAAGTCAAAAAATTGGGCCCCCCCCCCCCCCCCCCCCCCCGCAGCTTTTCTTTTAGCTGTTTTAACAGTTGTATTAACTTATAAAATAGAAAAATACAAAAGCAAATAGCAGGGAACAAAAGGGAGGGAAAGGGGAAGAGAGAAGTGTAGAAAAGAAGGGGAAAAAAGGAAAAAAAAGGCATAGAATAAGACAGTAACATCAAACCTCAACTTTTTTACTTTTCCGTCATCATCCTCTTTGAACAACCCCATAATCCCTTGCATGGTAGAGTCTGGGCAACTGAATGGAGCTGAGAGTTTACTGGCTGGATGCCCTTCCGGTCACCAATGCGGAGGTTTTTTTCAGCAGAGATATTCTCAGTGTGCCCAGACAGAGAAATATCTGCCTCTACCTAGGATCAAACTCACAGCCTCCTGATTGTGAGGCGAGAGCTCCACCTCTAGGCCACCACACCAAACGTTTTACTTTTCCATTATAGTATAAATTAGCCATTTCTATAACAACAAATCTATCTGATCAGTAAAACCCCAAAATCAAAGTTTCATTTTTTTTCCACCTCAAGCACAAAGTCCAGAAGCGGTTTCCGAGTAGAAAATTCACTTAACAACTGCCTTGCTTAGCACGACCCAATCGTGATCCTACATTGAGGACTAGCTACACGACTGATATTTTAAAAACACAGTTATTATAAACAGTCTCAGTGCTGCGGAGACCCCATCCTGATGGTTTTCGATGGCCTCATTTTATAATGAAAAGCAGACCAGGCTCTTCATTAGAAGTCTAACAGGAAAGCGAAGAAGGTCACGGAGAACTTTAATTCTGCTTTTCAGCAGACTTTGCAACTTCGGGAGTCTTTAAAAGGCATTAAAAAAAATTAAAAAAAGAATGGAAGTGGAAGCAGCCAAAGAAAAAAAAACTTTAAAAAGCTCCAGGGATGCCCCTTTCTCTAATCTAATCTTGATTCCTGAGAGACTCCAGAGCGTCTTTCAAAATTATTAGGACTTCTGGCATTGTTTCAGAAGCGTGATGTGAAAAGGGAAATTGTTAAGAAAATTGAATAAGAGATTAATTTCCTAAGAGATTTTGAGATCTGGGAATGCCAGGAGAAAAAAAACCAAGAATCTTCAAATAGCAGCTCTGAGACTCAACAGATGGCCGTGACCGTTTTCCATCCTGTTCCCCCAAAAGGCTTGTTCTTATTAAACCACTTTTCTGTTTTAGGCACTGATAAGCAAGGAGCTAATACAGAATTGGGCTTGATCTTGGTCATGTATCTCAATTACATCCAGGTGTAGACTTGGACTCTACTGGGGAATTACCTGTTCTTTGACAACTCACCGCAGTCAACGCCGTCAGGAACTGAAGGAAATCTGTACAAATGAAGATACTGTACAATGGATTTAAGCTTTCCCGACAAAGATAAATAGAAGGGTGGAAAATTAATTCTGAAGTTGTGGGTTTGTGTGTGTTTTAGTTCTGGAGGAGGGAGGAGTAAAGTCGCAGTGGTACGTGGGGAAGTCCTTGGGAGAAGGGGCAAAGAGATGCTGCATAAGGAATGGTCAGATAAAGAGATGACGTAGCCCACAGCTACCTAACAGGCAGGGCAAGAGATTCAGAAGAGACCCTTCCTAGTTTCTCCACTGTAAAGGTGGCAGAATTGAGTTTCAGTCCCACCACGTAGGTTTATCATAAAGTAAGGTAAAGGTTCCACTCGCACATATGTGCTAGTCGTTCCCGACTCTCCATTTCAAAGCCGAAGAGCCAGCACTATCTGAAGACAAATCCATGGTCATGTGGCCGACATGACTCAATACCAAAGGCGCACGGAACGATGTTAAATTGAGTTCAGAGTCATTTTGAGACCCATCATATGGACATTTTCTCACCCGGGAAGAATGAGAGACACGTTTATTATAGGAAGCCATCCATCCATTTCCAAGACTGTATATACATTGTTGAAAAAACTGCTTTCCTTCCTCTGCAGGCAACTCTTGCCAGATCTTAAGATCTCCTCCCCATTAATTAGATAGTTGTAGTAGATTCCCTAGGAAACTGTTGGCACTAACATGCTTCACTGATCCAATTATACTTGCAAACCAAGGGAAGACCCTTCTCTTCAGTACCTGGCTGATTATATAGCCCAAACAGCTGGTGAAGGAAACAAAGAATTTCTCCCGGGGTTCATGCTACAGATCGGTGAAAGTATCCCCAGTATTAGTTCAGCTAATTGCCAAAAGTAACTTGATGGGCATCCAGGAACACCTGCCAGGAGAAAACAAATGGCCCAGAGCTGAACAATTTGGACCCATTTCAGCAAGAGAGAAGTTCTTCTGGAAATTTTAAGCAAAGGTTCTTGAATTCGGCCTGGCAATCAAGCCCCTGCCGGCCATGGCGTCATCAATATTATACAGCATGGTATTTGAGTTTTATGGTTAGAATGGAGACTGGCAACCCTTCAGTGATGGGATTCAGCCAGTTCGGATTCACTGAACAACCGTGTTGCTCACTTGACAGTTGCAGTGATTCACTTAGCAACCGCGGGAAGAAAGGTTGTAAAATGGGGCAAAGCTCACTTAACAGCTGTCTCGTTTAGCAACAGAAATGTTAGGCTCAATTGTGGCCATAAGTCAAGGACTCCCTGTATCTTTGAAGAGAGTCAACTCATGCTACTGCCTGCAAAATAAGTGCTAGTTAAAAAGACTGGGCTATTAAAGTTTGGGTATCTTGTTTCCCTATGGATGGATAATAATATTTCCATATTGCAATATAGTGTCTTGAGGGGTCCTTGGTGCCTCTGAACTTGGTTTTCTTACAGACGTTTCATTACCCAATTGGGTAACATCATCACTACTAGAAGGGAGGAGGAGGAGGAGGAGGAGGAGGTCCTCGGTGCCTCTGAACTTGGTTGTTTTCCTGCAGACGTTTCATTACCCAACAAGGTAACCTTATCAGTCACTTGAACATTTCACTGCCTCCTGAAGACAGAAGTCTGAACCAGGGAAAGCTAAGAATTCTGCTTGTTAACTTTGCCTCAACTCTTTGGCACTTCTGAAACACATCTTGGCCTGTTTTGGTATGCAGCGATTCCTTCCTTCCTAGAAGTGAATGTACGTCATCCTATATTCTCAGCAAGGACGTTAATTGAGCTGTCACTTCCTCTGAAGACCCCGCTAAGCGTTATTTGTCCGACTCTTCATTAAATTGGGATTCTATTTTCATTTAGCTCGCTCCCGCTGTTGACTTCGCTCTCTGATCCGTCACACCCCGAGGAGGGCAAAACCGAGACACGTTTCTAAGGAACAGCCAACAGCTCTTGCTGGTGACAAGTGCCAAAATCAAGTTGTCAAAAACTTTTAGCAGCATTAAAAGCTGCGTGGGTTTGCTAGGATCGGGGGACCTCTCGCCGTTGAAGAAAATTTTTCAGATGCTTCTGCTTAAAGGCGATAATTCTATTCCACAGATTGTGCTCGGTCAACAGGTGTGCAGAGGGCTACTCCAAAGTAAAATAAATGTGTTGAGGCTTATTCAGTTCCGAAGTTGAGGCTCCGTGATGAAGATTTATTTAACTGGATAGGATTTTAACACAATCATTTATTTTCATCCGACTTGACAGACATCCAAAGGGACTTGCAGGAAAGCAACGTACAAGCCTTACAAGAATTCATTTACTGGGGTAATGAATGAAGCCCCAAAATAGAGCAAATACCTCTCCCCTCTCCCACCTGGCTAATTGGCTAGGAAAATTAAATTAGCTTGCGGGGTATTTACAAAACATACTTATCACCATTTCTTGTTGTTGTTAGTTGTGAAGTCATGTCTGACTCATCGAGACTCCATGGACAACGTTCCTCCAGGCCTTCCTGTCCTCTACCATCCTCTGGAGTCCATTTAAGCTCACACCGACTGCTTCAGTGACTCCATCCAGCCACCTTATTCTCTGCCATTCCCTTCTTCTTTTGCCCTCAATCGTTCCCAGCATCAGGCTCTTCTCCAGGGAGTCCTTCCTTCTCATTGGGCCATTCCCTCTCATGGCCAAAGTATTTGAGTTTCATCTTCAGGATCTGGCCTTCTAAAGAGCAGTCAGGGTTGATCTCCTCTAGGACTGACCGGTTGGATCGCCTTGCGGTCCAATTGGCATTTCTAGGATTCAGTTAATGTTTTGGTTCAAATCCTCGGATCTTAGATTCCTTGAAGAGCAAAATGAAACTGCTTAAAACAAGGAAAAGTTAAAAGAATCCGTTTTCTGAAAGACGGTTACAGAGTTTGGGTAGCATGGCTGTGGTTTGAAGCTTCATTGATGATATAACATCTGGGTTTATATTTATATTTTAATATATATTGCTAGTCCATGTATCATATGCCAAACAAACAAACAAACAAACAAATAAACAAAATCTGGGTTCATCTATCCCCTTATGATGTTAGTTTGGTTGTTTGGTTAGCGATTTGACTAAATCTAACCCGTTATATATTATATTACACATTCTTCAAAAGCTCATCCCAAAGGTGCTTTTTCTTCCCCCAAAAAAGGCAGTTGGACTTCCTTGATTTTTTCCCCCTTTGAAAATGTTTCGCTTCTCATTCCAGATGCTTCTTCAGTTCTAGCAGATAAAACCTGCTTCAATTAGAACTGAAGAAGCTTCTCGGATGGGAAGTGAAATGTTTTCAAAGAAAAAACGCAACAAAAAAAATTTAGCTGCATTTTGCAAAATGCACCTTTGGGACAATGGTAATCTGGATGATTGAGAATCATCCAGAATTGACATTCAGAAACTCGTATTCTACCATGATCTAGAACCCAGTCTATATCAGAGATGGTCCGGAGCAAACACCTTCTCTGAAAGTTTTCCTTTCTCTTCTGTTAGGAAAAGAAAAGGACTATAAATTCTTCACTAATAGGAGCGCAATGTTTTCCCCCCAGTTTTATATCTTTCCACAATTCAAATTCTGGATAATGTCAGCATTGAAGTTTCTTGAAGCCTCTAGAACGAAAGAGCTACATTTTCCTGATTTGGTTCCCCCGATGTAGCTCAGATGAACATTTCAATCCTAATGAAATATTTAAAAACTTAACCTGACGTCTGCTGGCAAGAGGGAACCACAAAACAAGTTGACTTGATTAAAACATTTTGCATCAGGTGGGAAAATGGAGATGTTGCATTTTGAGAAGTTTCGGCTAAGACCAGATTTGCATAATTAGGTATTCTCCAGACGATCTTTGCAGTGTTTTTACACACAGACACACACACACATGCCAGGAAAAAATGCTATTTTGGAAAAAAAAAATTATTTTCTTCTTTTCAAAATCACACAGACGTTCCTATCCTCACTGTACCTTTTAATACCAAAACGGGTCTCAGGATCAAACATTCAGATATATAACAAGAATAACAAAAGGATACAGGTAAAGAAATGTGTCTGATTTTTTTTGCATCCTGATGCATCTCACTTTGTTTCCAAGAAGCTTTAATTACGGAAATAATTGAAAGAAAAGCAGGAAAAACAAAACCAACTTCATTTAAGCCACTGAGATGAGCTCATTTCAAACATCTTAATTTGTGGAATTATGTCCTTCTTTTCTCTAGACTAGTCAAACCCAAATCCTGCAGCTGTTCTTCATATGTTTTAGTCTCCAGGCCTTTGATCATCTCAGTTGCTCTTCTCTTGAACTTTTTCCAAAGTCTCAACATCTTTTTTTGCAGTATGGTGACCCAAATCGGTTGCAGTATTCCAGGTGTGGCCTTACTAGGGTTTTATAAAGTGGTACTAATACTTCACGTGATCTTGATTCAGTGCCTCTGAATCAACTAAGACTAACTAACTAACAACCAAGACTGTCCCTGAACTCATGTTTGATGACGTCTCATCAGGGAAAACTCAATCCTGGGTGTATGAACTAGAATGATCATGATGGCTTGTTCCAACAAACCCCGGCTGAGCACGACTGGGGAATTAGCAGGATTCTTCCCGATGGAGTCGGGTCTTCCAAATTCTTTAATCCATCTTGGAATTTAGAAATGGGTGTAGACAAGAGGTTCCAGGCGCCAGTTCCTTTGATATAAACCTATAAAAATGGCCTCTGAAAATCATTTCAAGCAGACATGTAAGGATGAAGTGTGGCAGTTACCTAGCCTCGTGGCGTATTAAATCATCTTTATAAAACGCTTTGCCAGCCGGGATGAAAAGAGAGGAACACAAAATCCGGTGTCTCCCTGACAATGCCATTTGTCTGCCTCAGTGTAAGTGGGGGAAAAAAAACACACCTTCATTAATATACACACAGACGCACGCACCGCCTGACACACACAATGAAGAAACAGTGTCAAGGAGAATAAAAGCCTTTGATTTTGAGTATGAAGCAGAAGAGAAATTACATGTCATAAAAAAAAGCGTTAACAGCTTCAGCCTCTAATGTAGTTGCTGTTTGTCTCTCTTTGTAATAAGGATGTCTTTCTATTTAATTTTTTTAATGCTGTAACAAGCTCACACACTCCAAAGCAAAACACCCCAAAAATCTCTGTAGGGTTGACTTCTTTTTTCTTCTTCCTCCTCCTCCTCCTTCTCCTCCTCTTCTCCTCCTCCTCCTCTCCCTCCTCTCCTTCTCCTACTCCTACTACTTCTTCTCCTCCTCCTCCTCTTCCTCCTTCTCCTCTTCCTCTTCCTCCTCCTCCTTCTTCTTGAGTTGACTTTGTAGACAGCTTGCCAGAAGTTTTCCATGCCGCCTAATTTCATTATGGAAGTGCAATTTCAAAGGACAGAGAGATTGGGCCAGAAAGGTCGATACTAAGGTCAGGGCTGGACAATGTGAGAGCCCCAATCCAAAACTGATTACTCCATTCAGGCCTCTTGTAATAAAAGAGGTTGATTTCCAGGGGCTTCGGGTCATCCATTCTCCTGGAAGGCTAATGTTCCCACAGGACTTTGTCCATCTTAAACCCAGCTGTTAATTTAACTCCTCCGCCAGCAGAAAAATCTGCAAGCGACTGGGCTCAATTACTAAACCCTTTGAAAATCTTTACTCCCGTGAATCTGTGTTCTGGGGCGAAATTAATTTGATCCAGAATCTACAAAGAGAGTTTTAATTTTCAGAGAGTGGGGAGGACGGGTAGTCAGGGAAAGGGCAGAGGGGAAGGGAAGATAATTCTTAAAGGGGAAAGAAATGTCAGCCCACAATCGGTGGCGGGGGAGGGGGGCAGCAAAGTTTGCACATACACCCCCCCCTTAATGCAACTTTTGACAGGGGGTTTCTGCAGGGGGTGCAACGTTCAGCAAAGGTTTGGCCAACGAGGAAAGGGCGTCCACATGGGTTGAATTTGTGACAATATTCAGATGCTTCAAAATTAGATCCGTTTGGTTTTAGGCCAGGATGAAAGACGAGGAAGAGGACATGCATGCTTGAGCTGCAGGGACTGAGTTCACATGTCACGCCTTTTGAGTCTCGGGATAAGAATATCACATTCTGTGCCTCTTGCATCTTAAAGGACCTTGGCTCTGTTGCTTGCATAGAGGTAGTCCTTGACTTACTAGTCCCTGATCCAGTTCTACAGAGGAATTATTGAGTCTGTCATCTGCACCTCCATAACTGTCTGGTTTGGCTCTGCAACCCAACAAGGCAGACCCAGACTTCAGAGGATCATTAGAACTGCAGGAAAAACAACGGCTACCAACCTGCCTTCCATTGAGGATGTCACCTATTTTATTTACCAGCTGAGCTCATCATTTCTGGACTATCTGACTTTCCGTACCTTGCCAAGAATTGTTATCAAAAGCTACTACGCCTGTCCATCCACCCACATTCCTTCTCACACTTTTTCCTTTGTTCTCTTGCCACGGGTGCCGGTTGCTGAAAGGCAGCTGGCCCAAATTACTTCCAAAATGTGACAATTTATCTTTCTTAGTTAGTGAGGTGTTTTATTTTCTTTATAACAAATAAATGAGTTTTATTAGAAACTTTTCTTCGCGTTTCTTTTTCGGAATATTGCAAACAAGGAGGAGCCATGATTCATCTCCTCTAATTAAACCAGGGTGATTAGTCCCAGAGCCAAACATGGGATTAATAAATGCTCTGACAGAGGACCTGTATACTGCATGAGTCAAAAAGAGGGCTGGGAAAATATCTACAGACCCCTCGCATCCTGGACATAAACTGTTTCAACTTCTACCCTCAAAACGACGTTATAGAGCACTGCACAGCAGAACAACTAGACACGAGGACAGTCTCAAACAGGTGTCATGAAATTGAGGGAGGTCAATACCTTCCCCCCTCTTTTTCCTGAGATATTGTTTGGCTTTGATTACAGCACCAGATTTATTCCAACTATTCCAACATTCCCAGGGGAGATGGACGGTTAAGAAATATGAAATACCAATAAATACGCAGGACAGCAACCTGCATGGAAGCAAGATTGTTGATTAGATAAAAGATTTCGGTTCCCCTCTCCTCCAACTTTGCCCCCCTCCAGGAGTAAGTTGGAAGGGCAACAACAACTCCCATCATCCGCAGCCACGACTAGGGCACCTGTATTCCTTGGCACGGCCCCTTTAAATCTGGGCATCGGTGGGCGGGGCCTAGAGCAGCTCTTCCCTCCCTATCCGGCAAGGCGACTACCTCCCCGAGGAGGCCACGCCCAGCCTGGCCCGCCGGTGACGTCATGGGATTTTTTTTTTTTTGACAGCTCCGGGCCCCCTTGGTCTCTCTCTTTTCATTGGCCGCGCCCGGGAGGCAGGCCCTCCGGAGGCGACCAATCGTCTTCGCCCGACCTTTCAAAGGAGGGAGGGGGGGGAGGCTCTTCCCACCATTCTCCACACACACACACACACACACACACACCGCCGCAGATCCTTCCCGTATTTCTCCCTCCCGCCTCGCCCGAGGAGCGGACTCGAAAGGCAGCCGAGGAGGAAGGAGGGGGGTGGGGGTAGCATGCGCCCCTGGAGCCGTTGCCGGGCGACCCCGCGGCAGCTCTTCCGCCTCCTCGCGCGCGGCTCCTCTCCTTCCGGCCGGCCGCGGCCTAGCGCCGTCGCCATGGCAACCGAAGCCTCCGCCGGCCTGGACGAAGCGCTCCGCCTGGCCGTCCCGCCGCTCCCTCCTTACGAGACCCGCGAGAAGGCGGCGGCGCCGGCCGGGGCGGCGCTGGAAGAGCGGAGCGCCGAGTTCATGCGCTTCTACCGGGCGCTGGGCGAAGGCGGCGGGCGTCGGGCCGAGCTGCTGAGGCGCCTGGCGGGGGACTTCGGCGTGGAGCACGGGCGGGTGGCGGAGGGCAGCGCGCGGGTGCTGCGGCTGCAGGAGGGCGAGCCGGGCCCGCTGCTCCAGGCCGAGGACCGGCTCCGCCACGCGCTCACCCCGCGCTACAGGGGCCTCTTCCAGCACCTGGCGCGGCAGGAGGGCGGGCTGCGCTTCCTGGTGGAGCTGCGCCGGGACCTGCTGGAGGCGCTGGCCGCCAGGGACGCCCCGGGGCCCCACGTCCGGGTGAGGATCAGGGGGGCATGGGGGGCTCGGCGGGAGGAGAGGGAGGAGGAGGAGGGGGACTGGCCGTCGGTGCCAGGCAGAGGTTCAACAGGAGAGATTGGGGGCCGTAAGGAACAGGCAGAGGTTCACACAGGAAGGGCTGTTCTGGAAGTAGAGTCAGGCAGAGGTTCAACAGGAGGTGTTTTGGTCATTGGTGTCAGGCTGATGTTCAACAGGAGGGCCCGGGGGCAGTAAGGGTCAGCCAGAGGTTCAACAGGGAAGCTTCTGGTCATCAGTGCCAGGTTCATGTTCAACAGGAGGGGCCGAGAGTGGCAATTGGAGGCCAGGCAGAGGTTCAACAGGAGGTGTTTTGGTCATTGGTGTCAGGTTGATGTTCAACAGGAGAGATTGGGGGCAGTAAGGAACAGGCAGAGGTTCAACAGGAGGTGTTTTGGTCATCGGTGCCAGATTCACGTTCAGCAAGAGGGGCTGAGGTAGTGGGGCCAGGTAGTGGTTCACACAGGAGGGGCTGTTCTGGAAGTAGAGTCAGGTAGAGGTTCAACAGGAGGTGTTTTGGTCATTGGTGTCAGGTTGGTGTTCAACAGGAGAGATTGGGGGCAGTAAGGGACAGGCAGAGGTTCAGCAGGAGGGGCTGAGAGTGATAGTAGAGTCAGGCAGAGGTTCAACAGGAGGTGTTTTGGTCATTGGTGTCAGGCTGATGTTCAACAGGAGGGGCGAGGGGCAGTAAGGGTCAGCCAGAGGTTCAACAGGGTAATTTCTGGTCATCGGTGCTAGATTCACGTTCAACAGGCGGGTCAGAGAGTGGCAGTGGGGCCAGGCAGAGGTTCAACAGGAGCTTCTGGTTATTGGTGTTAGGTTGATGTCCAACAGGAGGGACTGAGAGTGGCCATTGGGGGTCAAGCAAAGGTTCAACAAGGGAGGTTCTGGTCATTGGTGCCAGGTTGATGTTCAACAGGAGGGGCTGTTCGGTCATTTAGAGGTTCTGCAGGAAAGTGCTGTGATGGTAATCATTCCATACAGATGTTTGGGGGGGGGAGGGTTGCCCTGGCAATGGTGCCAGGTAGCACCTCTAGAGGTTGTGGCAGGGGGTATGAAATCCCCCCGCCTTGAGCAAGAGGTTGGACTTAGAAGACCTCATAGGTCCCTTCCGGCCCTAGGATTCTAATGATGCCAGGCAGAAGTTCAGTTGGGAGGAGCTGTGGTAGTGGTGCCAGGCAGAAGTTCCACAGGGGCTGTGCTAGCAGTGGTGCCAGGCATGTGTTCAACAGGAGGGATTGTTCCAGCAGCAATGCCAGTGAGAGGTTCAACAGAAAAGTGCTGCTTTAGGAATGATGCCAGGCAGATGTGCAACATCTGTTCTGGTAATTGGTGCCAAGTAGAAGCTAGGTAGACATTCAACAGAAGGCATTGGTCCAACAGGTATGGATTCAACAGGATGGGGCTGATCTCATAATGATGCTATGGAGATGTTCAGGGGGGGGCGCGCACAAGTTTGATCAAAATAATGAAATATACGCATATTTATTTATTTATTTATTTATTTAATTTGTATACCGCCCTACTCCCGAAGGACTCAGGGCGGTGAACAGCCAAGCAATAAGATACATAAATACAAAAATTTAAAAAACCAGTTAAAATCGAATTAAATCATTTTTTGGCCCAGACAAATTAAAACACCCCAATAATTTAAGAACAGATTTAAAATTTATGTATTAAAAGAGGGAGGAGATTAGGCCAAGCCTGCTTGATGGAATAAAAGAGTCTTCACAGCGCGGCGGAAGGTGCGCAGATCCGGGATCCTCCGTATCTCTGGGGGGAGCTCATTCCAGACGGTAGGTGCCCCCACAGAGAAGGCTCTCCCCCTAGGGGTCGCCAGCCGACATTGTTTGGCTGACGGCACCCGGAGGAGTCCCTCTCTATGAGAGCGTACTGGCCGGTGGGAGGCTATTGGTGGTAGTAGGCGGTCCCGTAAATAACCAGGTCCTAAGCCATGGAGCGCTTTAAAGGTGGTAACCAAAACCTTGAAGCGTACCCGGAAGACCACCGGGAGCCAGTGCAGCTCGCGCAGGAGAGGTGTCACATGGGAGCGCCATGACGCTCCCATTACCACCCGCGCGGCCGCACTCTGCGCCAGTTGGAGCCTCCGGGTGCTCCTCAAGGGGAGCCCCATGTAGAGAGCATTACAATAGTCCAGGCGGGAGGTGACGAGGGCATGAGTGACTGTGCGTAACGAGTCCCGATCCAGAAAGGATATCATAATATCATATGATAATATATATCATATTCTCTCTCTCTTTCTCTTTATATATCTTATCTATCTATCATATCATATGAATATATATAATGAAATAGAACTTTTGTGTTATTTGGTAATAGGAGGGATGGCAGTTTCTAAAGATTTCTTTTTCCCAGGGGGGCAAATGTTTCAAAAGTGTAGATATTTTCTATTTATTCCTGGTTTGTTTGGGAACAAAGTGCATTGGGGAACAGGACAGTTCAGCTTGTAACTGGAGAAAAATATGTGTGGCAGTGTGCAGTCTTCGATACCCTTGAAAAAGACAGGCAGAACTAGAGCAAAGTTCATGCATTAGTGCCAAATTTCTTTGTGGCAGAACAGCACATGTTGTTGATGTGGGAGACAGGGCATAGCAGTGCTAAGAATGAAATTCGTCCTTGGCAAGAAACATTGTGCTTCAGCGAGGAAAGGTGGTGGTTTTTTTAAAAAAAACAAAACAAAATCTGCATAATTATGCAAGCTGTGTCCTTAACAAGTGCTTTGTTTTTTTTTTCTTCCTTCAATAGGGTTTGTGGTCAAAGTTATTCAGTTATACAATTGAGAGGCTGCGTGACTTCACAAGATGGCTTACAAGTTAACAGGAGAAAAATTCTAATAATAAAAGAATAGACCATGGACATCCAGAAAACATGCACTTGGCATTTAGTAGAACAAAATTATTTCTGTTCTGTATATCATGTAGAATAGTTGGCACTTATAGTTTGAGAACAGTAGTTGTAATCTAACTCAGAGGATGATCAGATCTCTATTTTTTAAATTTTTTTGTTTGTGGTTAGTTTCTTTTGTTATCCTTTGTGACTGTATCCTTGAGATGAACTCTGGGTTTTGTTTTGTTTTAAACGTATAGAGAAATTTCTTGCAAGAGCCTAGTATAATATTTCAGTTGAGTTGAGTTATTTGTGTGGAATTGACACCTTCCAACTTTTCTGTAGTTTCATAATTTTAATTCAGCTTTTTCCTTTTTTAAAAAAATAACTGCGTTTTTCCAGCCCCTCATAGCTACCCAACGATGGTCCCAGATCGCATTAAGCATGTTTTTCTGTCTCTTGCATAATCCCGTGGCGTCTCTTTTCAAAAAGCAAATTTTGTATAAGCTTCTTAGCACCGTGTTATCAGGGAAAGCAGCTTCGTCTATCTCTCAAACCTCCATCATCTAAATATTTTTTTCCCCCCATTTGGTGTAATCTAAATAAGATCCTGTGGTTTGCCTCGAGATAAGGCAAGCTACAGGATATTCCAGAAAAAGGAGAGCAATTAATTTTTTTGCTGAAATTGTTTTGAGGTATCTTTTCCGAGCTTCATCTCAAGTTACCAATGTAGGGCATGAGTGCACTGTGGGCAGGACGCCACACAAAATCACTGCGGAGTTGTAACCTTTGCTCCACATTCCAGGTTCTTGAATGATCCTGTCAGCTGCTTTGGCAATGTCTCGGTGTAGGATGAGCCCAGGAGCTGAGTAGGTTCACACACACACACACACACACACCCCTCTTGCATGATTTCTTTCTCCTCTTTCATCATGGCCACCCTTCTAAGCAGTGCGAGGTCTTTGAGACCTTACGACCGCAGATGGCCCTGGAAGTTGCTAAGCAAGGCATTCGTTCAGTGCGTTGCACACGATTTTATTATTTGTTTTTCTTCTTTGCCGTACTTGCTAAACAAATCGCTGTGGTTGTTAAGTGAATCACCAGGTCGTTAAGCGAGCTCGGCTTCCCCTGTTGACTTTGCTTGTTGGAAGCTGACTTGAAAGGTTGCGAATGGCGATCCTGTGATCCTGGGATGTCGCATCTGTTGCACATCCCTGCCTCTTGCCATGTGTCCCAATTTGTCTGACCACGGGGATGCTGCAGAGGTCGTGAGCACAAAGACCACGTGCCAAGTCATTTTTTTCAGTGCCGTTCGAGCAGCTGCCAAACCAAACACACGGTTGCAAGTTAAGGACTATAGGTAGTCCTTTACTTAACAACAGTTCATTTAGTGACCATTTGACGTTACAACGGCACCTGGAAAAAAGCAGCTCGGGACAGTTTTCCACACTTACGACCGTTGCAGTATCCCCATGGCTATGTGATCAAAATTTAGACACTTGGCGACTGGTTCATATTTATGATGGTCGCAATGTCCCGGGGTCACGTAATCCCCTTTTGCAGTCTTCTGACAAGCAAAATTAATGGGGAAGCCAGATTCGTGGCAAGGTAATTCGTAAAATGGGTGAAAGCTCACTTAAGGAATGTTTCGCTTAGCAACATCAATTTTGAGCTCAGTTATGGTCGTAACTCGAGGACCACCTGTATTCGTATGTCGCAGTCATAAACAAGATTGGTTTGGCCATCAGGGAAATTCGAACAGTTAAGAAACAACCCAAACCGTACATGATTTGCAGCTTTGCTCTTTGCAAGTGGAAAAGGTGAAGGTCGTCCAAGCCAGTTTGTTTGTTTGTAGCTCTGGGCGTCACAGGTTCCTATTCGGGGAGCGAACACATCCCTCCAACACTCAGACGTCAGCAGGGAAGGTTAGCATTTTAAGGTTAAATAGCCAGTGGGATCACGAGCAGCGGTGCAGGAAAATGACTTTGCTCCTTGGCGACTAGTTGCTAAGAAACAGAAAATGTCTTTCCTGCCGAATTTGTAGCGGAGGATAGATACCTGTGACCTAGGTGCAGGTGTTTCTGCTTAGGCATGTTCACCGGCAGAGTTCAGCGATGGAATATATAATAAAAAAGAATATTTTTTAAAAAAGAAGGTAGAAAGTGCATCTGGGCAGTGCGGAGGACAATCTATTTTTATGTGTCAAGGAGACCTTGCTTTTCTTTTTAGGTGCGATGTCCCCCTAAGCCCTTTTTAAAAACTCACGGCCTATAAAGCTCCTAAGTGTCTGTGTGGTTAAAGCAGTCGTAAAACGTGGACAGCACAAGAATACGCCGGTCTCGGGGGCCCCCACATTGAACCGAGCAGCTAAGGCTTTGTGAGTCAGACAGGATTTTAGAAATTCTAGGGAACACTTCAGCGAGAAAACTCACCAAGAGAACTTTTCATTGTTAGCATATTTCTCTGTGGCATAATAATATCTTTGGAAATAATGCTTTCAAGTTAACAGTCAGAAAATGTTAATTTTGTGAACTATTCCTTTGAAGAATAGGAATAGGGGCCAGATGGCTCAGGGGTCAAAAAAACCCCGAGCTTGTCAGGTGGAAAGATGACAGCCTGGGTTCGAGACCTGAGCTGCACAACAGGGTACACTCCCGTTACCTGCCTCAACTCCTGCCCATCTAGCAGCTCAAAAGCATGCAAATGCAAGTAGATGAATAGGTATCACTTTGGTGGGAAAGTATCAGGGCTCTGTACGCCTTTGGCGTATAGAACCACAGAAGACGTCTTCAGACAACGCCGGCTCCCTCAGCCAAGAAACTGAGATGAGCACCACACATAGGTGTCAAACTCACAGTGTCATATTGCTGTCATGTAACATTTTGCGATGTTTTTTCCCTTTGCGGAGCTGAGGTGGGCGTGGCCTGCATGTGACACTTCCGGCCCGCGTAACACAGCCTATCCCTGCTCTAGAGTCAGACACGACAGGGAATATCTTTAGAATTGAGGACTATATTATACCTTAAAAACCTATGAGTATTACACTGTATTCCATGGCTGCCTAAGTAAACATGCAATTGCTTATGTTTCTGTCTTTTTCTGAATGAAGGTAGTAAAGAAAAATGAACTTTTTTTTAGAATAGAATTCTTTATTGGCTAAGCGTGATTGGACACACAAGGAATTTGTCTTAGGCGTATATAGTCTCAGTGTACATAAGGAGAATAAAATACATTCATCGAGAATAAAAAGATACAACACTTATTGATAGTCAAGGTTACTCATAAGCTATCAAATTGTACTAGGAAACAAAAACAATATAAATTGAAAGATACAAGCAACATGGTTATAGTAATAAGTGGGAAGAGATAGATACTAGTAAGGAAGAAAAAAGGAACAGTAATGCAGCCTTAGTGAATAGTTTGACTGTGTTGTGGGAATTAGTTGTTAAGCAGAGTGATGGCATTTGGGAAAAAACTCCTTGTGTCTCATCATTCTGGTGTGCAGTGCCCTATAGCATCATTTTGAGGGTAGAAGTTGAAACAATTTATGTCCAGGATGTGAGGGGGTGCATTTTTAATATCAGAATGAATGACCTTTCGCTATAAAATGTTGACTTTTATAAAGAAAGATTTAAGGAACTCCCCCTCCCCCTTGTCAAGAGAGTTTAAAATCTACAAGAATTGCAAATTTTCCGAGAAAGGCAGGATTCAGAGATAGACCATATCTGAACCACCTTTAAACAGTCTCTTCTAACCCAGAAGGTTGCACATCTCTGGTTTATGATATGCCATAAAACAGTTTGGAGCCAGTGTACAAATCTAATACCGTAGGAGAGCAAATTAAAAGATGCTTTATGATATAAAACCTTTTATTTTGAATTTTGGGGGATAATTCTTTTGGTGGAAGAAAGCTCTCTAGTATTGCTTTGTTTAACACTTCTGTTTATTTTAATAAAAGTATCGCCACAGATATTTCTGCTTCGCTCAGGTTGCTCTGAGATCACAGTTCGTGAAAATGTTAATACGTTTTTTCCCCCGCCAGTAAACCTCTTAAAAGGGGAGGTTGACTTGAGTTAATTTTCTTCTATGGAACATTTGTCAATCTAATGTGAAATTACTGTTTTCGAAAACAACAGCAGCAAGTCATTTTATGTTTGCTTGTTTAAACTGAGATGAATGGAAGATGAATGCAAAAGCTGTTTATTTCATTCTGCTTCCATCCAATTTGCAAACACTTAGTTCAGCCTCTCATGGTTTCAGAAATTAATACCTATAACATCTCTGCTAGCAATACAGTCGTGGAATAAGGAAGTGTAACTTGTAAAATGTTAGCAACAAGGGCTTTAATTGTTCTTTGTTCATCAGTTGGCTTAGATGGCTCAGATTAGATCTTATATCTGTGCATATACACTGGTTATTTTTTTAAAAAAATATACATGAATTATTTCTAAACTAATGCTTACGACAAAGCAATGTTAGAGAACGAAACTGGCATTCTTTTAAAACTTAGCAGCTGCGCTAGAAAATGCTTCTGAGGTCTTTTATATTCTAGAGATCTGGTGCGATTATGAAATAAAATAGAAGAGAATTCTTTATTGGCCAAGTGTGATTAGACACACAAGGAATTTGTCTTTGGTGCATATGCTCTCTGTGTACATAAAAAGAAAAGATACATTCGTCAAGAATCATAAGATACAACACTTAATGATAGTCATAGGGTACAAATAAGCAATCAGGAACCAATCAATATCAATATAAATCGTAAGGATACAAACAACAAAGTTACAGTCGTAAGTGGAAGGAGATGGGTGAAAGGAACGATGAGAAGATTAATAGTAGGGCAGACTTAGTAAATAGTTTGACAGTGTTGAGAGAATTATTTGTTTAGCAGAGTGATGGCGTTCAGGAAAAATTTGTTCTTGCGTCTAGTTGTTCTGGTGTGCAGTGCTCCATAGTGTCGTTTTGAGGATAGGAGTTGAAACAGTTTATGTCCAGGATGCGAGGGGTGTGTAAATATTTTTCCAGTCCTCTTTTTGACTCGTGCAGTATACTGATCCTCAATGGAAGGCAGGTTGGTAGCCATTGTTTTTCCTGCAGTTCTAATTATCCTCTGAAGTCTGAGTCTGTCTTGTTGGGTTGCAGAGCCAAAGCAGACAGCTATGGAGGTGCAGATGACAGACTTAATAATTCCTCTGTAGAACTGGATCAGCAGCTCCTGATACTACACAACTACACAAATGTTTGTGTAGATGAAATTGTCTGCAAGTCTTCCCTAACAGCTTTTAGATGTTGAGTGAGGAGACCTCTCTGATATCCAAAAGCAGACCTCTCTTAATAACTTCTCTTCTCTGCTTGTAGGAAATGAACGGAGTACTAAAGAATATGTTGTCAGAATGGTTTTCCACTGGATTCTTAACCTTGGAGCGAGTTACGTGGCAGTCTCCCTGCGAGATTCTTCAGAAGATTAGCGAGTAAGTGCCAAAGATTGATGAGCCGTGCGGCACTTCCCCAAGTTAAAGCAATCTGGTGCCACCTGATACAAATACATCATCAAGATTACATTGCTCTGTTGATTGTCCAGGATTAACCTTAGTTTAAAAGAACAGCAAAACCTGCAACCTTCCATCTTCTTTATTTTATTTTTTTTTTAGTAGCGAAGCTGTGCATCCTGTTCGAAATTGGATGGATATGAAGCGCCGCGTTGGATCCTATAGAAGGTGTTACTATTTTGCCCACTGTGCAATACCTGGAGAACCCCTGATCGTTTTGCACGTCGCTCTTACTGATGAAATATCCAGCAATATCCAGGTACCGTTTTTTGGCTTTTCCTTGGGACCAAACATAGCCTCAAATTTTAATCTCAAGTTAATATTAAGAGGAAGGAAATTCTTTAAAAAACACATATAAAGAAAGCTTATAAAACAGCTTTTTTTGTCTATGTAGATGAGCTCCATAGAAGTCCTTCCAGTTGCCCTTAAGGTGTTTGGGCTGATATCACTTTAAGAGCCTGTAATAAGAAGAGGCCTTGTTGGGGCGTATCTCTCTCTCTCCGTGTGTGCTTCTCTGCTGTAATTGCTGATTGCTGTTTGTTTGAGGTCTGACTGAAGTACGTGTATGTATATATTCTTTGTAGATAAAACCACTATTTAAAATACAAACCTCTGTCTACTGTATTTGCTCCTGGGTTGTCTCATATAGTCACACTGTGCGCACTCTGACAGTTTTTGAAATTATGGTATGTTTTGAAAGAAAAGTCCTGGGTTGCAACTCACGAGAGAGAGCAAGTCCTCGGTTGGCAATTGGAGCCGAGCTGAGTGTGCAAAATCTTCCCCTCTCTGCTGTGAGAGCTGGACTGTGGAACGTGAATCTGCTGGAATTCAAACCCAGATTGCCTCACTCATTATCTTAATCTTTCTCTAGGCCATAGTAAAAGAGCCTCCCACGCAAGAAGTAGAAGATTTGGACAGAATTACCACCGCAATTTTCTACTCCATCAGTTTGACTCAGCAGGGCCTGCAAGGCGTGGAGCTCGGCACGTATCTCATCAAGCGAGTGGTCAAAGAGCTGCAGGTAGGTGCCAAAAGGGATGTTGCCCCTGGAATTTAACTCCTTCCTTCCTTCCTTCCCTCCTTTTCCCCTCCCTCCCTCCCTCCCTCCCTTCCATTCATTCATTCTGTCTTCCTTCCTTCCCTCCCTCCATTCATTCATTCAGTCTGCCTTTCTTCCTCCCACCCATCCTCCCACCCTCCCTCCCTCCTTCCTTCCTTCCATCCATCCATCCATTAATTCTGTCTTCCTTCCTTCCTCCCTCCCTCCCTCCCTCCATTCATTCTGTCTTCCTCCCTCCCACCTTCCATTCATTCATTCAGTCAGTCCTTCCTCCTTTCCTTTCCTTTCCTTTCCTTTCCTTTCCTTTCCTTTCCTTTCCTTTCCTTTCCTTTCCTTTCCTTTCCTTTCCTTTCCTTTCCTTTCCTTCCTTCCTTCCTTCCTTCCTTCCTTCCTTCCTTCCTTCCTTCCTTCTTTTTTAAAAACAAAACAAAAATGCAGTTTCCTCAAACCAGTAGTGGGCAATTCATTTTCCTACTGGGACCATTGTGGAGGGCCGAACCAAAAGGACCAACATATTACTGTGAAGGCACATAGGTACACATGCGTGCACGGATCTACATAAATTGAAAAAAAAAAGAGAGTCACCTTCAGAATAAAAGCAATGCAGTTGTATTGTATGCATGGTGTACACTTTATTTACATTTGATCTTTAATTTCCAGTGACCTCACAGGGGCTGAACAGGGACAGCCAAAGGGCCAGATGTGGCCCGGGGGAGGGGGGTCGTAAAATGCCCTGGTCTGCCTTAAACCATGTCAGTCAATTGAGTCCTTTAGTTCAGTGGGCTGTTAGAGCTTAGGTCTCAAATCTTCCAGCTCTATGAAAGAACAAAATGACAGAGTTGGAAGAAACCTTGGAGGTCTTATAGTCTGAGGTCATTCATTAATATTATCCCACTGCTTAACCAAACTTGGGTAACATGAAAGACTTGTACAAAATGTACCCAGCTTTGGGGTGGGGTTGGGACAGCATAGGAAGTTCCTGCCCAAAAATTTAACATATGAAGAGTGCAGGTGAAAATTTTTGGGCGTGACTTTTGAACCATCTCTTAGGGCTCGAAGTAAACCTCTCCCAAGTGGTTGTGGAAGATTGTGGGTTGTTTACTTAACACTGGTCCAAAGGGAGAGCACATTTTGTTAAACTTTAGTTTTGAGGCAGGCGCTTTAGAAATTTGCTTTGCTAAAAGTGCAGCCTCCTCATTTAAATACCAAACTAAATTACTTGGTACTGCTCCATTTGCTGGGGTTCATTCCCTTAGATATTAATGTATTGTAATACATTTCTCACGGTTGAATCTCAAATATCCTTTGGGGAATAAACAATGTGGGGAAAATAAGATATATCATTATTTGCTTTGTTTTCTCTCATCTATTTGATTAATTCCAAATCATTTAATTTCAAGCTTCTGTAACTTTTAATTTCCCCAGAAAAAGAATATGTTATATTATTGCTGTCACGGATACATCAGAATGCAACCAGACAGGCTCTGGGCTTTCGAACTGCAGCGATTCAGATTTTATTTTTTTTAGATTTGACCTTTGGAAACTGAATGAGGAAAAATTGGAACGGGAATCAGAATATTTTTGGGAATCAAAATATTTACCTCCAGAAGTTGCGAATGCTCCAACACTGGAAGTTTTTAAGAAGATATTGGATAACCATTTGCCTGAAGTGGTGTAGGGTTTCCTGCCTAAGCAGGGGGTTGGACTAGAAGACCTCCAAGGTCCCTTCCAACTCTATTATTCTGTTATATTTGTGAAAACTGTGTCCTTAACGGGACGCTAATGCCAGTCAGTTTGCTGAAAGAACAGATTTGGCCATGCCATGGCAGCAACGTCTCTTTTAATCTAGTTTTTATTTCTGTCTGGGTCTCAAATGAACACCACTCTACAGGCAGTCCTCGACCTACAACAGTTCATTTAGTGACCGTTCGAAGTTACAACGGCACTGCAAAAAAAAAAGTGACTTGTGGCCGTTTTGCACACTTACGACCAATGAAGCGCACCCCCCCATGGTTACGTGATCAAAATTCAAGTGCTTGGCAACCGACTCATATTTATGACGGTTGCAGTGTCCAAGAGTCACGTGATCCCCTTTTGCGACCACCTGACAAGCAAAGAGAATGGGGAAGCCAGGGTCGCCTAACAGCCATGTGACTTGCTTAACACCTGCAGTGATTCACTTAACAACTCTGGCGAGAATGGTTGTAAAACGTAAAAATTTTGGGCTCCGTTGTGGCTGTAAGACGAGGACTACCTGTATTGTAAAAGCTCCTCTTAAGACCAGCAGAAGTGAGCAGTAAACCTGATTCATTCTAGGGCAGCTGATGAGCTTATTGCTAATCAGGGGATGTTTTGTCTACCTTTATGAAGATGCTAGTATATTTTGCCTCTCTATTTCATGAATAAAACAATGTCCTCCCCTCCTTTGCCAGCCGCATTGTACATAACTGATAAGCTAAGTTCACATGCACACAAAGCCAGGATTTTTTTTTTTAAACATCATTTGTTAAACAAGCTATAATGGATTGGTTCACACACAAAACCAAGCTGTAATGAGTGCATTCACATACCTTAGAAGAGCTAAAAACAAACAAACCGCATAATAGCTTAGGATAATATGTGGCCCATGTGTTGGTTTTATGCAGTACTAATTTATTTTTCCAGCAGCTTATAGACTTCATGTTTTGTCAAGAATAGGGATTTTGGCATAATGTACCTTTGGGCCTCCAGGCCAGTCTACTGGTGCCTGGATTTTTTTTTTTTTAATGTAAAATGTCCTTTTTTTAGATGGCAGAAAATGCAATTTAGACATCATTTTCTTAAAGCTTTCTCCTTGTTGGAAAAGGGTTGAGAAAAGACCCCAGTGGAACAAGGAAATACATTTATTTTGCTTTTACATCATCACTGTAGTTAACACTGGAGGCGAAACAGTCTTGGGTTCCTCAAATACAAGACCCGTGTTAGGAAACGTGTTTCCTAAATTTTAAGAAATATAAGGGCAAAATAAAGACAACATCTGTTTCTTGGGAAGGTAACGAGTGTTACAGCTGTTCAGCTGCTCAGTTGTTAAATTTGAAGTGCTAGAAATGGGAGGGGGAGGGTTTTAATCTACTGAACAAAAAATCTGTGTCTCTTCAGATTTCCCAGGGCCCAAGAAAAATTAAAAATCCTTGAAAGTATCTCCAGCATCCGTGAGAAAATGGTTAATCAAAGCTTTTAGAGATGCTTTGTAGGTAGTTTTACTGCTTCTCAAATTGCGAGTATAATATTTGGGCAGATGGTATTTTATTAGGCAGGAATGAAGAAATCCTAAACTGAAATGTTTTACTTCTGCAGTAGGTTCTGAAACGAAGTTCTGAAATGCACATAAACAATAACCTGCTGATGAAAATAGCCTCATCTCAAACCTGTTTGTGCTTGCTGCTTTAAATGTTCGATGTTTAAATGTTGTTGTGATTTCCGTCCTCATTCAGCCGTACCCAAAAATCTGTCTTTTTTTTTTGTTTGTTTGTTTTGAACACCTTGAAAATCCGCAGGTTGAATTTCCTCAGATCCAAACTTTCTCCACCTTGTCTCCCATCCCGGGGTTCACCAAATGGCTCGTCGGGCTGCTATGCTCACAATCCAACGAACTGGGCAGGGGAAACCTTTTCACGGATCCCGAGATGCAAGAAATTTCGGAGATCACGGGAGCCCCCATGGCTGAGAAACTGAAGCGCTTTTTCACGAACAACGGGTGGGTGAAATCGGAAAAGCTGGCTCGGGTCTTACAGCAGCCCCTCATGAGGCTTTGCGCCTGGTATCTCTACGGAGAGAAGCACCGCGGCTATGCCCTCAACCCAGTGGCCAACTTCCACCTTCAGAATGGCGCGGTGCTATGGCGCCTGAACTGGATGGCAGACGCCAGTCCCCGTGGCTTGACGGCCTCGTGTGGCATGATGGCCAACTATCGCTACTTCTTGGAGGACACGATGGCCAACAGCGCCACCTACCTTGGAACGAAGCAAATCAAAGCCTCAGAGCAGCTTCTGTCCTTGGTCTCCCAGTTTCAGCAGAACAGCAAACTTTAAATAATCTGAGCGAGCAAAGACTGTTCTAGCTAAACGGGAATCTTGACTTGGTCCTGCTCAGGAAGAAGCGGGCTGGTGATGAGCCAGTATGTTCTCTTCTGGATCTCATCAGGCTCTGCGGTTGGGTTGTCCTGGGTTCTCGATGCCTTGTGTCGCCAGAGAAGAAGACCCACAGGGTTTCTTGTGGTGCTTCCAGCAGGCTGAATCTCAAGCTTTGTTGACCTCACCCTTAGATAAGTGGTGGCAATTTGTTGGTGGTTTCTGTGAAGTGTGGGTTTTCCCTTGTTCTCAGTAGATCAATAGTCTTGTTTAATCTGCATCTTTGACAGCACTATTGAACCACTGAATGCTCTTGGACGTTAAAGGGATCAATATCAGAGTTACTAAAAAAGGGACAAGCAAGGAAAACATTTTTGCCCAAGTGGGAAAACAAAACAGCATGTTTATAACACTTCTTCAAGAACTTTTTTTCCCCTTTCTCTGCTGTGCTGAATTCCTGGATCAGGTCAGCTCAATGGTCTAGGGTATCCTTGAACAGGGGGCTGGATTAGATGACCTCCAAGATCCCTTCCAACTCTGTTATTCTATTATATTCCATCTCGAGGGCTTTGGGGGCAACATTTGCATGGAAATGAGGCATTTGCTGCTATGAAACGGTTTACAAACGATAACGATTCAGCCATACATGGTTTGTTGCAGAAGTTTCAGAAACGTAGTATTTAAAAACATATCAGATTAAGGAAACAAGAAACATATGCTATTAAAACAGTGGGGAAATCCAGTTTTTTTTTATTACCGGTTCTGTGGGCGTGCCTTGGTGGGCGTGGTGTGCCTTGGTCAGCATGGCAGGGTACTGTAAAATCTCCATTCCCTCACTACTCCAGGGGAAGGATACTGCAAAATCCCTATTCCCTCCCCACTCCTGGGGGAAGGACATTACAAAATCTCCATTCCCACCCCACTCTGGGGTCAGCCAGAGGAGGTATTTGCCGGTTCTCGGAACTGCTCAAAACTTCCGCTACCGGTTCTCCAGAACCTGTCAGAACCTGCTGGATTTCACCCCTGCATTAAAACCTAAGGTTTACCATGTCACAGAACCCTTGCCTGTGGTATAATTATTGGACAGCTTTGTGCCTTAACATTTTTAGGAAAAGCAGCCAATTCTCTTAGATGGATTATCACTGCTGTGGATTACGGATGACCAAGTGGTTTGCTGAGATTAGGTTCAAAGTGAAGAGAATTTGCTATCTTTCCCCTTGATGTGTATGCACCAGCGTTTTAACTTAGGAAATTGAGGGTGTTCCTGAGTTAATTTGCTTAAATTCTGGGGGGGTTTCTCTAGTTCAGGGGTGTCAAACTTGCACGGTCATGTGACATATCACAACTATTTCCCCTTTTGCTAAACGGTGTGGGCGTGGCCAGTGCATGAGTCATCCGGCCGGCAGACTGCAAGTTTGACACCCGTGCTCTAGTTCTTTTCAGGAATAATGGCAAATTGGATTTATGAAGTTAAACCAGGAGACACTGTAACATTCATCAGCGGACACAGAATCACGCCAGAGACTGGCAATGTCCTAATTAAAATTGCATGAACCTACCTGTTGGGGATCGAAAGCATAGTTGAGCAGAAGCGTTAAAAGGGAATTAATAAATGAGCTTTGATGCTCAACTCGGGGTGGGATCTTGAAAAAGCTGCCAAAAGACAGCACAGCATCTGGTAGTTTGTCGGGGCAGGAAAAATCAAAACTGAAAAGGGAAACCCAGGATGAAGTTCCAGAACAGGACTGGGACAATTTGCAGCCTCGTCTTCCTTATTCATAGATAGAATAGTCTGAAATTGAATAACCGAAGGAACAGAATGCGCAAAATTTATATTTAACTGTTGGTATTAATGATAATTTATAATATTTATCTGGGTTGCAGCCCTGTTTTCTTGTTCATAGATAGAAATTGAAGAACCAAAGGACTAGAATGTGCAAAGTTTATATTTCACGGTTGGTATTAATGACAATTTATAATGTTTAGTTGGGTTGGTGTCTCAGCTGATTACTGAACTGGCATAATAACATCCTAAGTGCCTCCCCCCCCCTCTGAGATTAGAAGAAATGTCTGGTAAAAACAGAATAAACAGTGTCAGAATAAAACTCTCGAGTTTTTCCTTTTGATTTTCTCCATTACCTGCCGCACACCAACATCAGAATAGCTTCCCTGCAGATAATAGACATAATTTTCCACTCACCTCGGAAAATTAGGTCTAAATTTATGTACTCTTGTTTTTGGCTAAAAATGCCTGGTCTCAGAAATAAATTTTGTTGTGCAACAGAGTAAGTGATCCCACTGAGCCTTTTGATTTGGCTTCCTTCAAATCACCACACGCATCTTGAGTGCATTTGCTTAATGACCTCTTAGGTACCATACGTCTTTATAATGTGGCGGCGGCTGAACTGAATTCCTTGCCCTTTTTGTAAAATGAAGAGTTTCTTCAGAAGGTCTAGAGCAGTGTTTCTCAACCTTGGAAGCTTGAAGATGGGTGGACTTCAACTCCCAGAATCCCCCAGCCAGCGCTCTGCCGAGTGATTAAGCTACAAAATTAAGGATACAGAACTCCAAAAAGCAATACCTGTAATCAGAAAGGCTTTGGGCCATCTAGTTAAGAGTTTCAAAAATTATTACAGGCTTTAAAAGTGAAGTCCTGAAGTGTTTTTCCCCCCCTGTACAATAGGAATACTCATTACTTGTATCATTACTAGAGTAGCATCTCTCCAGGAGCAATAAAACTTAAAACGTGCTTATGTGGAACAATATAACACCACAATAAACCATCACACTTGTGCCATAACGGAAAGTGGGTCATATCATGTGTGGACTTCAATTCCCAGAATTCCCCAGCCAGCATGGGGATGAGATGGATGGATGGATAGATGATAGCTAGCTGATAGATAGATAGCCGATGGATGGATGGATGGATGGATGGATGGATGGATGGATAGATAGATAGATAGATAGCCGATATATAGATGGATGGATGGGTGGATAGATAGATGATAGCTAGCTAGCTAGCTGATAGATAAATAGCCGATGGATGGATGGATGGATGGATGGATAGATAGATAGCCAATAGATAGCTGATATATAGATGGATGGATGGGTGTATAGATAGATGATAGCTAGCTAGCAGACAGATAGAGAAAAAGAATAGGCAGGTCTGATGGATCATAGTACTTTCTGATTTTTGGGAGCTACTTCAAGCTACTCAAATCACCTTTAGGCCCACATATAACAGAAGGTAGATAGCAACAATAAACCCGAAATTGGTCTCCTTGGAAACCCAGTAAAATCTTTCTTGATCAAAAGATTCGTCAAGATTTCTTGACCTTTTCGCATCATCCAGTTCCAGAAACTTGTGCGTCTGGGAAGAATTTAGCACCCATCACTTTTAATGCTAAAACAGCCACTTTGCTCTTGTTTAATTTCATTACGTTGGAAGCTCTCAATCACTAAAAGAGGACTCTAGAAATGCTTAAATGAACCTTAACGGTGGTTTGAATGTGGGAAGAGAGCATTAAAAGCGACCCCGGGCTCTTCTCACCTTCCAATTAGCAACCGAAAAAGGACATTTTGAAAAGTGTTAAAAATAATAATAACGGTCAGCTGTCTGAACGGAGATATCTAAATATGCATTTAATTAGGCATTGTGAACCAAGGTGATAAAAGGAAACATTAGTTTTCAATTTTTGTGGTTCGACTCTGTTTCCCTTGCCGGCTGAAAGGGAGAAACGGGGGAAATTGTATGGGTGTTTACCTACATATTAGTTCTACTGTGTGAGTTGAATGGGACATGCTTTTGAGAGCAGGTGAGAGCAGTTTTACATGTTGAGGTTTAAGGGTGCAATTAAGTAAGGAGTCCAGCCCCATTAAGTTCAAGTCGAGAGGTGCTCCTGGATAAATGCCGAAGGTTGGTTGGTTTCCAAACATCCAGAGAGCTGTATTGTTCAATTGGGGATGGAAAAATGCTTTCTTTGCACATAGTTACATTTGGGGATTTGGGCGGGGGAGAGGAGGGTCCGCAGTCCTTTGGTAAGCTCCCTCATATACTTCTACAAACCTTGCTGGGGTCAAAAATGGGTAGTGGGATTGTGTCAAGTGGGGTCCTTGGTGCTCTCTGAGCTTGGTGGTTTTCTTGCAGACATTTCCTTACCACACTAGGTAACATCATCAGGGCTAAAAAGGATACTGCTTCTTGTCCTGCCCTCTGGTGCTTTGGAGCATCAGAACATAAAATACGGTAAAGTAAGGAAGTCAAACCGAGATTTATGGAATCATTGATCACGTAGGCACATGGGGACTATATTTTGTGAACCGCACATCTCACTTTAATAGATCTGTAGATTTGATGGATCCATGGATCCATATAAAACATGTCTTTGGGCGACCGTTTTTAATCAAAAGAGCTGCTATCAGACTCCTGATTTTGGGCTACCATACCCTAACCCAACTCTCCTACAACTATCCCAGGACTTGACGGGTGGATAAAAATGCCAAATCCAGTCTGGCTGATTGTGCCCCGAACCAGGTAGTCCTTGACTTACAACAGTTTGTTCAAAGTTACAGCGACACTGAAAAGAAGTGACTTTTGACCATTTTTCACACTTACGTTGCAGCATCCCCAGGGTTGCGTGATCAAACTTTGGACACTTGGTAACCAACTCGCATTTATGACCGCCACAGTGTCCTGGGGTCAAGTGATCCCCTTTTGTGACCTGACCAGCAAAGTCCGTGGGGAAGCCGGATTCACTTAACAACGGTGTCAATAACTGAACAACTGCAGTGATTCACTTAATACCTGTGGCAAGAAAGGTGGTAAAATGGGGCAAAAGTCCCTTAACAGATGTCTCGCTTAGCACCAGAAATGTTGGTCTCAATTGTACGTCGTATGTCGAGGACTCCCTGTACTAATATTCAGCTTTTCTTCCCGTCGGGCTTTTAGAGAGAGCATCCATGCCTTTACTCAAACAGTGGCCTTCTTCGTACCTTCTTCGGTCTTTGATTCGGTAGTTTACCTCCTCTGCACCTAATTCAGCATTTTGGGGATGAGAGAAATGAGAAGCAGAGCTTCCTGGGAAAGGTTAATGCCTTCCTAAGCTCTTTCCCAATAAACCGAAAAACAACCCCTTGCAATTTGCTGTTTTGCTCCATTAATAAAATTAACCGTAGCAGGAGAGTCAACAGCAGCAGCAAAAACAACAAAAAAAGATCCCTTAAGCTGGGGAATTTATGAAGTCCTCATTTTCCTCTTATAGCTGATTTTGTTTCCATATTTTTCGGGCCGATCAGCATATGTTTGAAGCTTGTATCTCCTTCCCACCCCCCTCTTCCTTCCCTATTTGTTTGGGCTTTAATTTGTACCTTGTGAGTAAAATAAAAAGTATTTTCTGACACCTGTTTGTGTTTTCTGTTCTCAGGGGGAGGTGGGGAAACAATTCCTCTTAATCTACTTAAAGGATTTAAATGGCGTATTAATATTATCCCGTTTAGCTCTTGATGTTGTGCCATCTTAGAGTTTGTAAAACAGAAGGGGCTGTGATGTAGCTGCCTTCCGCATCCTTAAAACTGTCAAAGTCTGGGAAGTGTGAAAGGCAATCAAAGGATTTCATTAATCGATTCCTTCTCCGCCTATGGAGAGCCCCATGTTTTGTTTTCTGGCCAGGCTTTATTTTCCCCCAAATGTGGTTTTAGGCTGAGAAATGACAGCTGTACTGGTCTCAGCCAGTCTTTGGGATGTTGCCTCTGAACTGAGGGCCTTCTCATAAAACTGGTCCTGAACTAAGTACCTTCTCCATAAAACTGTCCCTGAACCAAGTATCTTCTCCATAAAACAGTTCTTGAATCAAGGACTTTCTCCATAAAATTGCTCCTGAACTAAGTACCTTCTCCATAAAACTGTCCCTGAACCAAGGACCGTCTCCATAAAACTGTCCCTCAAACAAAGATCTCCATAAAACTGTTCCTGAATCAAGGACCTTCTCCATAAAATTGTCTCTGAACCAAGGATATTCTCCATACAAACTGTCCCTGGACCAAAGACCTTCTCCATCCAAACTTCCTGAACGGTTATGACTGGAACTGTTAAGTAAAAGTGTTATTAATGCTGAAGTTCTGGAGTAAAAGTTGTAGAGTTGGAAAGATGGTCAGGAGCCCAGCTAGCTGCATCATTCAGGCCTCCACTCTTATGACTGGAGTTCAACATAGCTACGCCATCCCCTAAAAGTCCGTCCTTGGTGGTCCTTCCATCTGCCAAAGCCTGGTTCACATCCGGGTGAGGTTCAAAGCAATACTTTCCACTCGAATCACAGGCAGGCATAAAGGGCCTTTGCCTACTGGAAAACCCCAATGGTGGAGCATCATTGCCAAGTTTTGAACATGAGTGTTTCTCATTCCTGTTGAGAGCCATACTTTTGAGTTCAGCATTTTGCTGATCCTTTCTAATTGGATTACAGGGGATTAGTTGCTCATAATTTTGGAGGGCAAAAGGGAGGAGGAGGGGAAATAGCTGGCAAGGCTGCCTTGTTCCCTTGTGCTAGAGCTCAGACATCTGTTGGTAGACAGAACTCCACGGATGGCTTCAGAAACATGCAATTGCCACTGACCTTTGAAAGCTGGTTTAATCCAAGTCCTTGAGCCCATTGGTCTTATTTATTTATTTGCTTACTCTCTCAGTCATTTATCTCTTTTTTAATTTGAGGACTCTCTAGTATTTCCAATGAAATGGATGCGTGGATCACGTACAAAGTTAACGCAGTCTTAGGCTGCATTAACAGAGGGATAGAATCAGTGGTGGGATTAAGCCGGTTCGCACCACTTGTTAACTTTCTGAGCAGTTTGGCGAACTGGTTGTTGGAAGAAATCGTTAGGGCAGAGAACCGGTTGTTAAATTATTTGAATCCCACCACTGGATAAAATCAAGATCACATGAAACGTTAGTACCACTTTATAATGCCCTAGTAAGTCCACACCTGGAATACAGCATCCAGTTTTGGTCACCACACTACCAAAAAAAAAAAAGATGTTGAGAGTTTGGAAAAAGGGCAGAGAAGAGCAACTAAGATGATTAAAGGCCTGGAGACTAAAAACATATGAAGAACAGTTGCAGGAATTGGGGATGGCTAATCTAGAGGAAAGAAGGACTAGGGGTGACATGATAGCATTATTCCAGTATTTAAGGGGCTGCCACAAAAAAGGGGGGGGTCAACCTATTCTCCAAAGCATCTGAAGGCAGACAAGAAGCAATGGATGGAAATTAATCAAAGAGAGAGAGAAGCAGCCTGGAATTAAGGAGAAACTTCCTAATGGTGAGGACAATCAACCAGTGGAATAACTTGCCTCCAGAAGTTGTAGGTGCTCCATCACTGGCAGTTTTTAAGAAGAGATTGGACAACCATTGGTCTGAAATGTTATCGGGTCTCCTGCTTGAGCAGGGGGTTGGACTAGAAGACCTCCAAGGTCTCTTCCAGCTAGTTCCAGGAGCCCCAATTAACATGGTGCTTTAAATGTGTCTTTGCCTTTAGCTTTCTCGCAGCAGACATATCCGTGAGCCCGGTTTGTCTCAACAGATACAATTAGACAATTTTGCCTTCCGCTTCCTTTCTTCCGAGTTGCCTTTCGTCTTTTATAACTGATCCCCGGAGAAAGCTCCATGACTGAAAAATCATTGCTAACTTTGTTTTTTTGTCTTCAGCGCACATTTCTTTCCCAGGGCTATAATAAGAAATAATGGCCAACATAACTTGCGAGACTTGAAGAAGGCAGCTAAAATCGCTTTTGGTGGGTTCCCCCTCTCCCCCCCTTGCTTGTTGCCATTTTTAACTTGTTTTAAGGATCCTGATTTGTCTTCCCATCTTAGCTCTTTGTCTTGCCATTTAGCGAACACTTCTAGTCTAGCCTGAAGATGGGTTTGGAAAAAGGGTCTCTTTCCTTCCAGCAACCGATGCCCCTTGGTTGTCTTTGCTTAGGTGAGAAATGTTAGCCAATTAGATCTCTTCTTAAAGGTAAAGATTTCCCTGCCAGTCATGTCCGACTCTAGGACATGGTGTTGATCTCCGTTTCTTGGCCAAGGTGCCAGCGTTGTCTAAACAAATTCAAATCTTTATTGTCAATGCACAACATATGTGCAATGAGATCGGTTGAGCTCCCTCAGTGCACACCTCCCCCAACACAATACAACTCACAACTCACAGTGAAGACAGAAAATCCCTAACCCAATAAATCATAATAACAAAACACCCAGTCCTATTGCACCAGTGTGAACATGTTACACGTTGCGCCGGCCCTGCAGTCCATCATACTACATAGTTATTTATTTATTGGTTCAATTTATTGGTTTGATTTATATGCCGCCCTTCTCTGGAGACTCAGGGCGGCTTACAATGCATTAAGCAATAGCCTTCATACTTTTGTATATACCTGCTTAGTAGGGCTTTCGGCCCCCCCTAAGCAGTATTCTTTTTTATACAAAGTCAGCTTATTGCGCCCACAATCCGAGTCCTCCTTTTATCTACCTCAGAAGGATGGAAGGCTGAGTCAACCTTGAGCCTGGTGAGATTCGAACTTGCAATAATTGCAGGCAGCTGGTGTTACTTAACAGCACTTTTAGACTGCTGCACCACCAAGTCTGCTGTGCCACCAAGTTACGATGTTATTTCTCATTCAGGAGTCTGACAGAAATTGTTCTTCAGCCTATTTGTGGGGCTGGCTATGCTTCTATATCTCCTTCCCGATGGTAGGAGGTAGGATGGTAAAGAAGTGATGGCCAGGGTGTGAGTCATCCCTGAGAATTTTCCTCCCTCTTCTAAGGCAGCGAGCCCTAGAGATCTCATCTAGTTTTTCTATCCGTGGCTGTCGGACCAGTGTGCCGTACCGTGATACAATAAGTGAGGACGCTTTCTATTGTGGAACAGTAAAAGGAGATCATCAGTTGTTGTTGTTCCACCCTGTTTTTATACAAGACCCTGAAGAAATGGAGTCTCTGTTGGCTCTTCCTGGCCACCTGGATTGTGTTGTTTTTCCAGGTGAGGTCTTCACTGAGATGGACGCTGAAGACCTACCCATGGCTGTGTGGCCAGCAGGACTATATGCCAAAGGCACACAGAATTCTGTTATCTTCCCACCTAAATGCTGCCTATTAATCTACTCGCATGAGCATGCTTTCGAACTGCTAGGTGGACAGGAGCTGGAGCAAGGAACAGGAGCTCACCCCCTCCCGTGGAGCTCGGGTCTCAAACCTGGGCTGCCACCTTTCCAGCTGACAAGCTCTGCATCTTTAATCGCTGAGCCATCGTGCTCAAATCCAGTTTGTTTCGATAGAAAGTTGGGCTTTGTCCATTTGGCTTGCTTGGAGGGCTGTCTTCAAACCCCTTTTGGTACATTGAAATAATATCTCAGGACTATTGCTGAAAGCAATGAAAATGGTATCAATAGAAGAGAATATGTAGAGCTCAGAACTGAGCTGTGGAGTCCTGGGTGCCCCCTGAGAATAACAGAATAACAGAGTTGGAAGTCTTCTAATCTAACCCTCTGCTCAAGCAGGAAACCCTATACTATTTCACACAAGTTGTTGTCCAGTCACTTCTTGAAAACTTCCAGTATTGGAACATCCACAACTTCTGGAGACAACTCATTCCACTGGTTAATTGTTCTCACTGTCAGGAAATTTTCTCCTTAGTTCTAGGTTGCTTCTCTCCTTGATTAGTTTCTATCCATTGCTTCTTGTTCTGACTTCAGGTGCTTTGGAGAATAGCTTGACCCTAAAAGCCACCATTTCTTCCAACCATTAAGTTGCTTCCAAAGGTTCTTAGAAAGTTTCTAGTGCTTATGACGCACCTGAAGGCCAGACAAGGAATAATGGATGGACACTGACCAAGGAGAGATTCAACCTAGAAATGAGGAGGAACTTTATGACAGTGAGAACAATCAACCAATGGAACACAAGTTGCCTTCGGAAGTTGTGGGAGCTTCATCACTTGAGGCTTTCAAGAAAAGATTGGACTGCCATTTGTCAGAAATGGTGTAGGATCTCCTGATTGAGTGGGGGGTTGGACTAGATGACCTATAAACTCCCTTCCAACTCTGTTAATCTGTAATGTGTGAGACTCCCCTACTTATAAAAATGATCTTGTTGTTGCCTCCTCTAAAAAGATAATTTCAGTCTGTTTTCCATAGTCTGGAACTGTCTGGAGTGGTGGCGTTAATATCTAATTTTGCAAAAGAGAAGAAAAAGAGAACTGAGAGGAAGATAAAAATGGCTCAGTGATTTTCAGAGTCTTTTCTGGAAACCCTGGAGAGTAAATAACGAATGAACGTTAAAATATTTGCCTGAAAATAATTTGGTTGGTGTCCCTTTAGATCTGAGCTGGAGCCATCACCTGTCACTTGGGAGCTCT